TAAATAAAATAGATTATTTTATAAAATAAGTAAATAAATAGAATGGATTGCTGAGAATCAATCCCAGTGCCTCACACGTGCTAGGCAAGTACTCTACCACTGAGCCTCAACTCCAACTCTCTCAAGTCATTCTTGCTTTCTTGCCAGGACTCTTAATGTTTGTCATAAATGAATGAGATGATTCTAAGTTTGTCACTTTTTTCTATTAATAACTTTTTAGATATTTGGTAGAAGGACAATCTTAAGACCCTGCATATTGGGGCTGGGGATGTGGCTCAAGCGCGCTTGCCTGGCATGCATGTGGCCCGGGTTCGATCCTCAGCACCACATACAAACAAAGATGTTGTGTCTGCCGAAAACTAAATAAGTAAATATTTAAAAAAATATCTCTCTCTTTAAAAATAAATTTTTAAAAAACCTGCATACCAAATGAAGTGTCTAAATTTTTGTTTATCTTTCCCAAAGATTTCTCAAGCCTTTATAGTTGCCATTATTTTTTACTTTATTTTGTTTAGGTACTAAGGTTCTCATATTCCATAATCTAGTATTGACATTTAGCTAATCAGCTTCAAAACCGATTTGGTTACTTGAGTGTTATTGGCCTTATTATATGTACTTCTGGATATGGGTTTTATCAACCCTTAAATTATAACTTTTAAAGTATAGAACATGAGTATACATAAGCAGTTTTCAAGCAGTACTTTCAAATGAGTAATCCCTTGTTGACAGTTGAGTTAGGCACCTCCATTGATAAATTGAAAGTCAGTGGGGCACAAGAAGGATTATAAAATACTTGTCTGAGGAAATATTTGCAATAATATATTCTTTGTGAAAGACATTTAAAAATTAAATGTCAGCAGCCTGCAACTTTTTTTTTCCCAACAAGGATCAAATATTCCTGTGACTATTGTGTATAAGGTTTTCCACTAGAGAAAAAAATTCATTTTCTTAGGAAGTGTTTCTAATTTTCTCTAATTGGAAAACATTTATTTTCTTTATAAAAAATAAAACTAACATTTACAAAATATTTTTTGTATTTGCCAAAAAAAAAATACTTTAAAAATTTTTACAAGCTATCTAAGCTCAAATTATTATTCTATAAGTAGTTTGAAACTAATTTTTTTCCTTCCTTCCTTCCCTCCCTCCCTCCTTCCTTCCTTTCCTCCTTCTTCCTTCCTTCTTCTCTTTCTTATTGAACCCAGGGTCTGGCACATACTAAGTGTGTGTTGTACTTCTCAGCTGTGCTCACAGCTAAAAACTGATTTCTTAAAGTTTTTAAAAAGTTGCCTTATGCAGGTGTGGTGGTACATGCCTATGATCCCAGTGACTCAGAAGGCTAATGCAGGAGGATCGCAAAATTTTTTTTAAGCATTCTGGTTATTTTTAGTTAAAGAAAAACAGCCTTTTCCAAGGGCAACAAAGTGAACTAAAGGTCAGAAGGAAGCTGGGTGTAGGCTTTTCACAGGCTCTTGCTCCAAAACCTGGAAGTAAGGAAAGAGCCCTCCTAGGAACTCTGGGGTGCCTGGAACAGCAGAAGGATTCCTCTGGTGGGGCTGGGCACAGCTGCCAGACCAACCTTGGTCACTGGATTGGTTTGCATGGGCTCTAGGGCGATTTCCATGGGCCAGTCATTGACATGATTAACACTAGTATTCTTTGGGGCATTACATTAAGGAATGATACAGGGAGCCAGAAGAGTTGGCTTATTCGGTTGGATTCTGAATCACAATCAGGAAATAGTCTTTATCTGGTGCAACCATAGTTTCATTTTTCTTGGAGCAGATTCGAAGGAAAGTGAGGTCATTCTGGGGGTCAATTTCTCGCACAGTGCTCCTTGCCTTCAAGATAAAGTTGTGCATGAGGTTGGCATACTGTGTGGTGGTGGGATTGTCCATGGTACTCTTGATGGGAATTCCTTCTGTATTCACCACGATGATTCCCTGTATTCCTTTCTGGCTCTGAAGTCACTTCAGTGTCTCCTCCACCTCTGCCTCTAATGACACCTTGTTTCATTTTCCTTTTCAATTTTTCTTATAAGCTTTACATATCATCTCGGACTGATCCTTAGCTCTGGGTCGCGAACACTCCGAGGATCACAAATTTAAGTCCAGCTTCAGCAATTTATCAAGACCCTAAGCAACTTAGTGAGACCCTGTCCCCAAAAAATAGAAAATAAAAAATGAAAAGGGCTAGGATGTAGCTCAGTAGTAAAATCCCCCTGTTAAATATCCAATACCAAAAAAAAAAGTTGTCTTATGAGCTCATTCCAGTATGACATTGCTTATGTACACATTTTACATTGATATAGCTTGAGATATTTTGTTTTATTATACCTCTTTGTGACTTCAAAATAATTAGGTGGTTGAACCCTTTGTTGATGTTTGGTTATTTCTTCTCAATTAGATTTATTGCCAAATGATAGAAATTGCTGTTTGGTTAGGCAATTCAATGTCTAACTCTCTCTGTTCATACTTTTGTATGAAGGGTAGCCTAACTAAGTCGGCACCCCGCCCCACCCCCTGGCCAATCTTTGCCTTATTACTATCCTGTTGTAGTGATACTTTTTGCTTTTACTCACTACTTTGGGCAGAATTGCTAAAGGATCCTTTTTAAATGTGATGTTTTCTTAAAGGACTAATCTCTTGAAGAACACCAAGGAAGACCCTGAGTATGAGGTATAACTCAATTAGGAAAGTCTGAGGTCAAGAATAAGAAGGATAAATCCTAGCCTTCTGGGGGCTAAATTTTGGCACTAGAGATAGGGAAAGGAAGGGACCAAGACTCAAAGAGAAACCGTAGAAGAAAACTTGGCTTCCTTTTAAGATTTTCCCTTTGGGTGACTCTGCCTCTTAATTCGTATCATCTATCACTATAATCATTACTTTTTAAATACAGTATCATACTTTCAGTAATGACCAAACAAATATAAATTGATTATATTTTCATGTTTATTTCACAGCTTGTGATGTTAACTGTTTTTCCCCCCCAAAAGGCATCTTTTTATTTTTAATAGTGTGGTATAAGTAATGAAGGAGTCCTATACTCTTTTCTACTGCAACTCATGGACTTTCAGTGATTGACACATAAATCATTTAAGAATGAACAGAATGGGGTTGGGGATGTGGCTCAAGCGGTAACGCACT